ATGGACATTTAGGCTCTTTCCATAATTTGGCTATTGTTGAGAGTGCTGCTATGAACATTGGGGTACAAGTTGTGATGTTCCTTTTGAATGGCCCATTGAGCAGCAGGCACAAAGATGTCTATACATGGGTTTTGTGACAATTTCTCTGAAGTTTACTACTAGTTGTCTAGTTTAGGCAAACAACAAACATTTAAAGACCATCAGAACTAGAACTTAACATCCGTAAAGGTGTGTTATTGAAACATAATTTTTCTCTCTAATTAACCCTCATTTCCAGAGATAGCCAAATCAAGACTAATTCATTTATAGAACGAGTCCACTTTTAACAAAGAAGACCTAATTATTTACATAAGCTCAGCAAGAACGGCAGTTGGTCATAGAGATCTTTTAAAATTTGCTCGGCTGGAAGTTTTTGTAAGGAATCTCTAGATTGAACTTTTAGTAGCTTCGCCAGTCCAGGAGCCCCAAGCCAAGCACTTGCCATCAGACATGCCTGCAAAACCTGTAGCTTTGGGTGAATTTCTTTTCACAAGGTCCCAAAGATATTCTGAGGTTCCTGCACCTGCCAGGAAGTGACGTTCTTTACTCACCTGGTAAGGCTGCTGGGAACTCTGTAAACAAGGTATCAGGCCATCATTTCCAAGGGGCTCTATGGCTCCATGTTTTATAAAGTCAACCTTCATTCCTTAAAACTGGTTATATCTGAGTCTAACCCTGTCTCTCTCAAATATGACATCCCAGTCAAAGCCTTGGTAAAGTAATCAGTATTTCCAATGGTGACCTGTTACAAGGAGAGCAGATTCTTACTGAACTTTTGCAAATACCTGTATTTGCCATGAAAGAAAGAATACTCAACTGAGAGCTTTTGAATTTCAGAGGGTTCAGGTAGAGAGAAAAGTGAAATGTCTCAGTTTGTTTACAAATGAATACTTTATCACATTTCTGTATGTTATGGGTATCTTAAGAGAAAGTTTCCCTAATCTGGAGAAGCAAACAGAGAACCAGCAATATTTCCAACAAGAGTCACAAAATCTATAATCCTTCTCAATTTATTTAGTCCTGTGTTACTAATTTTTGTTCAGTTTGAATGCAGGTTTTTAATTCTGGAAATTTTTACCCATTTGTTTTATGATCTTAAAGATGTGAAATACCTGTACTTGTCCTAAAAGTCCTTTTTATAAATCTCCTTAAACATAAAACATATTTTGTAAGTGTATCAGAACAAGAACTATAAATGACAAAAGACTCAAAAATGGACATGGTCAACAATCTGAGGGGAGTGTTCATTATGATGCAATTGACAAGGAAACTCAGTTATTTCTGTGACACATAGCACTCTGATAATTGGAATATCTGGTGATGACCAGATATTCTGGTCATCTGGTGATGACCTTATACCAAAACATATTAAAACTTTAGGAATTATATATATAATTATATTTGAGCAGTTATAGCATTTACCCAAGCAATGCAACCTAAGGTTTTCCATTGTTTGTTTGACAGGGTTTTCCAGGTAACACATCAAATAAAGAGGCCCATTTGGTCAAAAAGATTTCATTGACAATTTAAATCCTGGGAAGTTTGTTAAAACCTTAGGAAGTTATAAAGCACATCCTAAATAGGATTATAGATCATTACAAATCTTATTTATATAACCAAGGTGGCAATAAGAGATTCTCAAGGCAAATATGTAGGGTATATAGTTGTTAGCAAAGCCTAGCTCCTTTAACATTGAGAAGTTTTAACTAAGTGATCAAAGACCTGATAAAGACAAAACATAAAGCTTTGGTTTCTCTGGCAGACAAAAGAGAAAAGACTTTTGTTTACTTTTTTTTTTTTTAATCAAGAGCAGATCCACAATCCAAGAAAACTGTCCTTTGAACAGAGAGAAAAGCAGAATTTTAATCTTATACCAGTGTATTTTAAAAATCCATTCATTTCAACCTTAGTCCATCCTAACCACCCAAAATTTTCCTTTCAAAAGATTTCCCTTGAACCTTCTACAATTTTCCTTTGCATTCACATTTTGTCTCAAGCCATGTCTGTCTGAACAACCAGTTTCATTTAGGACAAAACTACTTTCTTTTACCTTCAACAAAAATGTATTTCCATTCCTTATATATTTTTTGACATATATCCCACTTTTCTACATACAGAGTTGTTTTCCTTACTTCCATCAGTTTTAATTACGTTTAAAAGAATTTTAACTCTTAGAAACCTTAGTCTCCAGTGAAAACTAAGTAGTAACCAATTGTGAAGTGTGACACCAGAATATTTTAGATGGAAAATTTAGGAATCAACTAAGCACAAAGCAAATTTTCCAACAGCCTCACATATCCTTAGTTTCTCTGCAATAAGTCAAAAACACAAACCTGTGTTTAATAACATGTCAGCATTTTATCCAATTTGGAAAAGACCTAGATGTCCAATGAATTCAATCCAGTTTATCATCCAAACAAAACCTTAAAGTTTTAGGTTACCAAAGCTCTTGAAAGCTATCTTAACAATTACCCACAAAAACTTTGAGAGAAACAGAAGGAACCATTATTTTCAGCCATCTTTTTTCTGACAAATTGCAACAGAGATATCCACGAGCTTATTTGACCTTAAAGAAGCCTAGGTAGAAAAAGTTTTGTATTTAAT